CAGACATGGAACACACTCACCCTTCACAGCTTTATCAAAACAAAATTCAACTCAAACCTAAGCAAAATGAAACTTTTTCAGAAAGGGAAACACTTCAGAATTTAGGAGCTTAAAATGCAGACAGGGAATAAGCACTTACATGCTGACCTGCTGAACAGATCCTGGCAGTTTCTCCTGAGGAGAACTTTAAGGAATGGTTCTTTATTTCAAATGTTACCTTGATAAAATAGTTCTGATTTAGAGCACAAAGTGTCAGACACAGAAACCCACACAGACCCCCTGTGCTAAGGAGAGGCTCCATGGGGTGGAATGCTGCTCATTTGAAGCACTGGGATAAAGCTTTTTATCAGCAAATCCAGCCCTGTCACTGATAACAGCTCCCAGGTGCTGTCTGTAAATACCTGGGCACTGACTTCGAGGACAGTGACACCATGACAAGATCTGCTGGGTGTTTTCAAAATACTTGGCAAAACTATTTTGTAACAAACAATTTATGTCTGGTTCTACCAGAGATAAGCTTTATAGAGATCAGTGTCCACAGGTCTGTGCTCTGCTGATCAAATTATAAATAACGTGAAAATGGAGAATAAAATCTTAGATTATTTTTGCTAGCTGTCCTGCTGGCAAATGTAAGGCTAACCAATTGAATTTTAAAAAGTTAATTAATTTATCAGACATTGAAAAATCATTCACAACTCTTGATATTTGGAGAATACTTTGAAAGGCAATTACAGCAAGGAAAGACTTAGGCCTTTCAAAAAGCATTGTTTAATTTTTGGTGAAAAACCAGAGGTGCTGATTACCATATGCAATTGTCCAACATACTAAATGAGAGAAAAAAATCAATCTTTGAGAGCAGGAAACCCTCATTTTGTCGGATTAGCAGCTTCAGGCTTTGTCCCAGAAATTAGACACGTGTAAGTGGGTCAAAATTAAATCCCCACACGTGATTTTGAACCAACCATGAGCAGGTTTAGGAGCTGAAGGGCTCTGCTGTGTCCTGCTCAATCATCCACCTCCCCCAGGCTGGGAATGAAGAGCTCCACACCTCTGGAGCAGCTGGACCCAGACTTTCCAGCTCCCCAGGGATGATGTTCAGTCAGGAACTCTCTGTTCACATCCCTGGGGACTCTTGTGGGGACAAAGTGGGCAAGGAATGGCTTCACCTTGGGGCATCCTGTCCTTATCAGATGATCCAGAAATTCCAGGGGTGGTTTATCCCCACAAGGACAGTGGGCAGTGAGCTGGGAGAGGAGCTCTGGAGATGAAATGATTTACAGGGGTGAAACAACTCCTTTATTCCCTGGGGTGTCACTAAACTTCCCTCATTTATTCCCTGGGATGCCACTAAACTGTCCCACAGGAGCCTTCTCCAGGCCAGCAGAAGGGTTGAAACCTGAACTTCTCTGTAAGCCAAAGGAATTCACCTCCATGTCTCCTATTTGTCCATAAGCTTCACTCACACACAGGAACTTTCGCATTTTTTCACTTTTAGAATTCACAAAATTCCAGTTAAATAAATTCTTTTCATGACTTCAATTTTTAGAGAAATACTACTTTTCACAACTTGCCTTTTATATATTCAAAAGCTCAGTCCAGCTCCAGAGAGAGCTGGTGTCTGAATTCCTAAAAAGAAACATTTTGTGGATACCTCCTTTTGTTTATTTATAAACAGTGAGATAAAATTATCAATATAGTTAAACTGAGACTAATTTGCAATCTCCCAAGTAGACACAGTGCTTCATTACATAACCTGGCAGCAGGATTACAGGAATAGATTGATGGGAAAGACCACAGGATTGCAATTGAAGTGTTCTTTGCTCTGAGATTGATTTCCTTTATTTCATTAATTTTTCCCTTCCTTTTCTGTTGAATTAAACTGTGTTTATCTCAAGCCACAAGTTTGACTTTTTTGCCCCCATCCCACTGAGGAGGGAGTGAGGAGCTGCTCTGTGGAGTTTCTCTCCCTGCAGGGTTAACCCACGACAAGCAGAAATTTCAGTTGCTGCAGAACTGGGTTCTTTAGGTACAAAGGTAAAACAAATCTGCAGTGAATTTACTTACTGAACACTGATGGAGTCCTTGAGACATTCACTGATTCCCACCAGCCTGCAGTAATTAACACTGTAGGATGCATTTGTCAAAATTATCTTCTTTTTGTAGATTTGACCAACATCAAAATCCTTGGGAAGCCAAACACACCAGGTGAGTGTCAGAGACATGATGTCACATTCCTGGTCTGAGTTATTGACAGTTCTGTGAACTAACTGAGATTTACCTGCATGGCAGTCACCACTTCTTTAAGGACATTATTTTACAGTAATAATGTATTTACAAACAAGTAAATACATTATTATACAATATAATATTGTCAATATACAAGTACAGTCATGCTGCCCTTCAAAAACCACAACACAATCCAACAGGAGCTTTGATAATCAGCTCACCTTTCTGACAGTATTTAACCTCCCCTAAAAAATGAAGTAATTATAGTTTAGATAGTAAAAATAAGTAATTTATTTAATCTACCACTTAACAAAGAGATTGTTAGAGAAAAAGGCAAGAACAGTTTCAAATTTCACTACAAACCTATTGAAAGTTGCAACAGATTTTTGATGAAGACATTGGGATATAGCTCCAGCAGATTGCTCTGTACAATTCCATGCAGAATGGCCACTGACCTTGAAATGAATGCAGCTGGGTTTGCTGTGGAAGGCACAGCCCTTGTGCTCCTGAGCAGGCACACTTTGCTTGTAAAGAATTCCAGTCTGGAGTTTCTCCTTTTCTTTCTTAGCCATTTGTGTCCTTATTGTCCTGAGAGCCAACTGTGTTGGATCTTCAATTTTGGCCACCTAAAAAGGAACATGCAGAAAACCACCAGATCTGTGTGTGAGCACAGAATCTGCAGCTCCAGTAGAAAAATCTGCAAAAGGAATCTTCCAGAACCTGTCTGGCTCTCTCCAGTCAAACTCAGCATCCCAACCTCAACATGAAGAATTTAATGGATTCTCAGCTGTCTGTTCTGCAGTTTCTCATCACCCAATACTAGAAAATCATGTTTTTCATAGCAGAATTAGCTTTTCTGCACTTTAAGGGTTTTATTTTCTTCTCAACTTATTAAACATTGAGAAAAAAATCAGCTGACTTCACTGGAATGTTTCAGTCATGGTCCAGTGCTTCTCTGTTGGTCTAGGAATATGTACTGACATGATTTCTTTTTGATGGATTCTGAAGTTTTTTTAAATTCAAAGAAGTAAACATAATGTGATTTATGTCTTCACAGATTTCTGAACTAAACCTAAAGCACTGTTTTCTCTTTGAGAGCACAAACTCCTCCAGAACAGTGTCAAACAGCAATGACTGATGATATTCTCACATCTGAATTTCTGCATCTATGTAATAACATCATGTCTGCATTTTAACTGCAAAATACACAATTATTGGTTTCAAGCAAGGTTCTTTTCTGTTTCTAACAGGAGACACCACAACATTTACCTTGTGCAAGTCAAATTCCAGATTCCAAAGTCCTGGGAACTCAGGTACCAGCAGGGTCTTGTCCCTCTCTGTGTCCTCATCACCACTTTCCTGGAGCACATCCTGGGCTGTGTCCTCAGAACTCTCTCCTTGGGAAGCAGTTCCCTCCCCAGCCGAGGAATGAACTAATGGAGGCCACCCCAGCTTTGGGGAAGAACACAAGTTTTGAAGATACAGTTAAAAATTACAGTTACTTCAACAGTTATCAATTTCTGAGGAGATCTTTTAACACAAAAATTACAGTCTTTGGCTTTTTGCCTCTTGGCCTTTGGCTCAGAGGTCAAAGCTGCCAACTTTTAGGCCAATCCCCTCTTAAAACACTGAATACAGACAAAATTTTACATTAAAAGTCACTTTATTTCCTTCAAGAAAAAGGAAACTAATAGATATTAAGAGCTCTAATGGGGAAATTCCTCTCCACTTGATCTCTACTGTCTCATGTTTGGTTGTAGCCTGTGCTATTTTTAAACAGAATTCAATGACCTGCACGTTTAACAAAACAAAACAAGAAAATGTAAAGAGAGTTGTTTCCTAGGCCTTTGATTACCTCTGATATTTCTCCATCTGCATGTTTGCAGGTCTCCTCACTTTGCCAGGCTTTCCTGCTCTGCAGTAAAGGATCCTCAAGTTTACCACGAGCCTTAATTGCCTTAGCAGGGGACTGACTTTTGCTCTGCTTGTGAGGAGGAGCTCTTTCTTGCAAAATTCGAGCCACAATCTCCATTTTTCTTGACTTCTGCTGTTCTCTAAAAGCTCTGTAATCCAAAGTTGTAAGAAATATTAACCCAACTATGGTTATTTAACAATAATATTAACTACAACCCAGTGCCTTGGAGCCTTTTAGCTAAATAGCAAGTTGGGTTCAGTGGTAATTTCTGCCAAGACACCAAGTGATTCAGAGGCTGTTTATACATTTTTGCAGACTAAATATACTCAGCTACAGTGTTTTAGAAGGCTGATACAGACTTTCACAGTGTTCAGGGGAGGAAGAGGGACAGTTACTTCAGCTTCCCAGTTTGGGGTCACTGCACTCCCCTGTGGAGGAGTCGATCACAGAACGCCCACGGGGCTCTGGAGCTCAGAGCAGCCCTGGGCAGAGTTCAGGGCTCAGGAACAGACTGAGCCAGTGTCACACAGAGTGGGAGAGGGAGCTCACCCCCTCCAGCACCATCAGAGATGTTCTGCCCTCGGGACCTGACTGAGCTCCAGGGAGCAGGCACAGTTTGATGTGGATATGACACTCACTCTTTCCTTTTCTCCTGTTCTTGCTGTCGTTTATGGAGAAAAATTTTCTTGATAACATTGCCTCCTTCTGCTTGGATGGCCTCCCTCATCTTCATCTCCTCCTTCTTTGCCTCCAAGGCCTTTGCTTTGTTCAAAACCTGGAGAGTTTGGAGCTTTTCCTATGAGAGTCACACAAACCAGTTACATGTTTGATTCACATATTAAAGAATATAAAACAGAGGATCTAATGCTGGTCCCCTTATCCAAGTATCCCTTTGTGGGGGATGTCTCTGAAGCAGAAGGTATTGTCTGTAATATTCTCTGTAGCCATGGGGTGCTGAGATGCAGAAAGCTCTGACTGGGTCCAAGCTACTTCTCTGTCCTTCCAGCCTGCCCCTGGAATGCTGCTCAGTGAAGGAATATGAAAAGATAACAGTTCTAAACAAATCAGGTTTAAATTAAGATCATTCCCTCATATCCTACAGAACAGAAATAGAAAAGCAAAGCAGCATAGCTCAGAAATTCCTAATTTATACTATTTAAATTCTCAAATAACTGTTTTTCTTCCATATGTTTTCTCCATGTGGAATATTTCTGCATTGGGATCCAAATAACTGGAAATCCTTCTGGCTGAACTTCCAGAGAACTTTTTTTAGCATGCATTATTTCCCAGAGAGTTCCCCTCCCAGAACAACTAGACTGTTGACAGAATAAACTGCATCAGCAGAATGTCAAAACCTGCCCACACAGATCCCTGCCAGGGTTCAATTCCCCCCAGTTTCAAGGGGTTTGGTCAGTGATGTGATCAAAAATCCCCACACAGCTCTGCAAGGAGAACTGAGCATCAGCAGGCAGTGACTTCATTGCCACCCCAGCCCAGCAGCAGTACCCTGTTGGAAGTGATGCTGGTTTTCAGGGAAAGCACAGCTTGGATCCTTCTCTCCATATGCTCCTGAGCTTTCGCTTCTTCCTTTGCATTTTGTTCATGAATTCTGTAAGCAAAGTAAAATCCTTCAGGCTCTCATCCTGGAAAGCTCTGGGTAATAGAATGTCTGAGCTGCCAGGGAGTAATTGCCAGCAGCCACTGCTGCTGCACAGCCCTGCTTGGTGGGCACTGCTGTGGGCACAGGAACAGCTGCAGCTCCCCCAAACACAGCACTGCTCGAGCTCCAAGTGCCAACAGGTTTTCAAATATTTTGCTCAACAACTTTAATTTTTTAAAAACTTTTGGATATGAAGAATGTGTTTCATGTTATGACATATGACTGGCTGCTAAAATAAAGAATTCAGGTGTTGCTCATATAAGCAGTATCTAAACCTTATGTAGCAAACTTTTAGAAGCCAAGCACATGTACCCACACTAAAAATAAACCCTGAGAACTCTACAAGTTGGAAATATGTGGGCAGGAGTCAAACCTGGGAATATTCCAGTAAATATAATAGGAAACCATAAAAACAATTAGGATTGATATGTTTGATATATTTGTCAAGAAAAAAACCAATTTGATTTTGTTCTTCTTAATTATGATCAGTTTGTACACACCATCTAATAAAAAATAAAACAGCCTAGAAACAGTACAATCATTTCAATCATTTTACAATTAAGTCCTATTATTTATATATTAAGATATATTTACATATATATAAAAATAAGTAACGAATGTTCCATTTCTTCAGCAGCAAAATAATTCAACACCAGAGTAATAACACAAACATCAACCTATGAAGGAACATCTAATTTAAAATCAACCAGAGCAGCAGCACAAGGAAATGGCCCATCAATCCATTGATGCTTTTTTACCACATTTCTGAGAGGACATAGAATGGCACAGGGCAGGTTTCAAACCTGGATTTTAGCTGTACTACTTCAGTTAATGGCACATATACAGATAAAATGCTTCAAATCATCATCAGTGCCTCCAAGGTCAGAGACTCCAGGGAATGTGGAGGCCATGACAGGACACTGAGTGGATTTTCTTCTTTCCACATCCTTTTTGCCCTAAAAGATCTCAATGCCTCACCACACTGTACCTGGCACAAGATTTCCAGGTGAAACAGAAAATACAATTTAGAGAAAAATCATTATTTTTCAAAGACTGGGGGATAAAGCCTTGCCCAGCAGAGAATGCACAACAGGAAGGGAGTGAAGCCCCACCTGGCCATGCTTTGCCTCAGGAAGCAGACTGCTTTCTCATGGTTCCTTTTGGCATCCTCGAGGAGTTTTTTATTTCTTTCTTCACGTTCTCTCTGGGCTTCCTTCTCTCTTCTGCAAAACAGACAAACCAACAGTTGCAGCAGGACTAAGGAAAATTTGATTCCAACACAATGAGACCTCAGGGTGGGGTTGGGGAGTTCATTAATATGTGCTGAAATTAGGACATTTGTCCACTCTCCACATTCCCCACATTCCAGACAAAGTGATAAACTTCACAAAAGCCACAGACTGACACAATTCTGCTCTGTTTTTGGAGAGCACTTTTGTGCTTTTTGGTGTCTGCTTCTGCTCCAGGAAATCTCAATGGACTCATAGGCCCAGAAGGTCCTGGAGGCCAACAGCACTGCAGACACATGCAGTTAGTCTGACCCAACAAACCTCATTTCCTATGATAAAACCCCCTGCATTTGTAGCTTTTTCATTTTCATTCAGTTTTTTTCCCATAGATCAGAAATCTTTACTTGCATAACTGCAAGGCTATGGCCAATTCTTATTTTAATTCCATTTCCTCATCAAATATTCCTGAAGCTCACCCAGCTAAGACACACAGTAGCAGCAGTATCTGAACCAGCTAAACTCAGCACCTGCAGCAGAGAACTGGCTGAAAATAAAACAAGAAAGGCAGCAGGCTCTGACTTTGAGGCTCTTACTTCTCTCGAGTCCGACGTGTTCCTTCTGCTTGCAGGGCTGTTATTTTTTCCTTCCAAATCCTCACTTCTCTCTCCTCCTGGTATTGCATCTGTAGCTCCTCCTCATCTTTTTGAAGTTTTTCATGGAGGATGTCGTGTTTTTCCTGTTCAGTTTCTATCTGCCACATCTCAAGCCTTTAAAAAGAAGTGTGAATTGTTTTCACTGGGATACTGATATTCTTTCACTTTAAGGTGATAAATTGAGTAGGGAAGGCTCTATGGGGGAAATAAACATGTAACCATGTTTTCTTTTAATATTTACAAACATATTTTGAATCAAACTCTTTTACTGACACAGACTAAGGCTCATATCTAATACAATATTCCTTTCAAAGACATCAAAAATATTGGTCAAAAAAAAGGTAAAAAAATAAACCTCAAGTTTTTGTTTCTCCCATTTACCTAGATGAAAACATGAAAATCAAGAAAAATTCTAAAAATAGCTTTTCCTTCAACAATAAATAACTTCAGAGACAGGCCACAGCTTTTATTCTTCTGTGCTTTGCTGAAGGAACCAGATATGATAGAGCTGAGTACATTAATCTGTTCTGTGTATTGCTAATCACACAATAAACAAGTCAAGCATTTTAAAGCTATTACACAACACTGCAGCAGAACACACTGTATCCTGCTTAACCACTTGGCTAATCACAGCTAGAAGCTCATGCCTGTGTTCCTCCTTTCATGTACCTGTGGTACCAAAATATAAACACACTCACCTGTTGCCTCCTGCAAAAGACAGTTTTACTCTGTCTGATATAAAGAAGTAATTTATTATGTGTGAACAATCAATTACAACGGCAGTATTAGCTTGGCATAAAAATACACAGTATTGCTACAATGTCTCCATCATGCTCATTTCCTATCTTTTCCTTTATGCCCTATAAAACCACTAAGAGGCATAAATTACAAGTATTTATGCTCATGCACAGACAGATTTACTTTAGTCCATCTTATTTTACATTTCAAATGAGACCTGTATAGGTCACAATTTATGCACCTCTCATAATAAAATCAAAACTTTATTTACATGTGCAAAGCTAACTTGGCTTCTGAGCCACATCATCCAGCTTTGTAAGGGATGAACCATGCAGGCTAAAAGTTGATCTGTATTGGAATATGAATCCCAATATAACCAGTTAGATGGTGCCTGGGCCAGTTCTGACCCTCACTGCTGGGCCAAAGGCAGCACTGTGGTGCTTTACCCCAGAGATACCTTGGCTGGTGGGGATTGCAGCAGGGCACTGAGCAAGTCCAGGCTTGTCAGGACTCCGTTTACCTCAGGAGAGAGAGCTTCTGGCGATGGTGAAGATAAGAAAGGGAGTGGATTCTGCTAGAGGGTTATATCCAGATGTTTATTCCATGGGTGCAGAGGTCTGCACTGGGACAATTCCTCCAACAGAATAAAGGCCGCATGGTCTCATTAACATTTTAAGCTCAGGGCAGGGGAAGGGGAGGGGACAGGTGAGTCACCAACCAGGTGAAGGGGCAGGGTCTCAAGGGACTGGGGACACCTATCACACGACGCCTTGCTGGTATGTTAGCCTGATTGACAGGGCACACTCAGCGAGGGGCGAGGGGGAAGGGAGAAGGTAAAACAGGACATTGCAACACACCGCAACAGATCTGGATTGATGTAGTTCAGTATTTACAAGCAATTTCTCTATTGATCAACTTTTGAATCCATCCAAGAGCGTATGAAGAAGGTAATAAAGATTCCCTGCACACTTTCTTCATGGCCTCACTTACAGGTTTTGTTTGAGTGTCAGAGCAAGGCTCAGCTCCAGCTCCCTCTCTCTCTCCAGCTCGGCGCACAGGCGGCTGCTCACGGCCTGCAGGCGGGACACGGCTGCGCTGCACAGTCAGACAGAGCCCGTCAGGAAGAGATGTGAACAGAGCCCCCCTTGCAAGGTCAGCAAGAATAAAGCACAGCTCTAAGGCTCAGATTTATTCAGCAGAATGCCAGCAATTCATGAAGCCTCTTGTTTAACCTTCTAAGTGTCCATTCTTGAGGCAGAGCTTTCTTTAAACTCTTACACACCGGTTGAAAGGAACAGATGAGAATTTCAAAAGCACTGACCAGTGGCTTAATGCAACTATTCACTTCTCCAACTGATAAAAGTAGTATTGTTCATGAAGATAAGCGTAGGTGAACCGAGAGAACCTAGACTGAGTTCGCTTTTAAAATGGTACTACAATATTCCATACACTTAGCCTACAACTGCAGCATTCCCACACAGTTATTTTCCCTCTCTCCCCAGGAGAACTAGCAGACAGTGTGCTGCAGGATCCACAGTGGCCTGACTATGCTCAACATAAACTCCCATCCTCTAAATGAAAATTGGATCTCCTACCTGCAGCTACTCTAAATTCAACATTTCTCTATTGGCATTGGCAGTGCTAATGGCAGCCAGGATTTGCATTATTGCTAAAACACAAAGTTCTTGAACTTCAGAGGCCGGGAATCTATCAATCTATCTCACTCCACTAGACACTTGCTAAATGTAAGAGATTGGGAGAATTGCTATTTTTCCATTTCCAGACCTCTCCATGTGACCCATCATAAGGATAAACACTGCACTGCTTTTCTGTCTTTGCTGGGATTTGTTACTGTCTCTGAAATCCCACTTGCACCACCTCAGGAGGCTCATTTGCATCAGCTCATCAGTTTTGTTTAAGCAGCTCTGCCATTCTGGCAGTTAACCTGCCTTCCTCTCTCATTCATTGCTGCTCTAACCTGGAGATTAAGACAGGTTAGAAATGCAGCTGCAAAGTTTGTTCACAAGCCTCTGGCTCCTGGTACACAAGCCACCCACTGCTTTCTATTTAAACCAAATGTGAAGAGTACAGTAAATTGCCTCCCACTTGATAGCACAAGTGTTTCAGAGCAGCTCCTGTATGCACAGCTACTCCTGAAAGGCATTCCTGCATTCCAGAACAACACAAGAAAGGAATGGCACATGTATGTGTGCATTTATAAAAATAAATATGCACACATATATAGAAATCCTGACTGAATAATCACCAGAAGCAAAGCCATGACCTCCAGGAGTGTCACAGCACCTTGATTCATCAGACTGAATAGAAGACTGACACGATTGACAGCAGTGGGCTAGGCTGACATAGTACCTGTTGTTACATTTTAAAATATATGCCTCTTTCCTACCCATTCCCAAGTTTCCACCTCTTCCTGCTCTTATCTCATTAATTACACACAGATGAAGATAGTGGATGCCTGTAATCCTTGGTATCCAGAAATACTCTCTACCTACACATTGCCAGCCTCCTCCTCTCTCTCTATTTCCATGTCTACATGATCCAGCTGCTTTGCCAGCATGTTGCTCCGCAGCCGACAGGCACTCAGCGCGTCACTGCAAGAAACAAACACACCAGTTATGTTCTGTAGGTTCTTTTCTCAGTAAAACTCTTTTTCTGGGGGCAAGATTCACAGCCAGTACTCCTGTCAGATACATAGTTCTATAAACTCCAGTATTTATGATGGACACAGTATCTCAGTATTGGCTGGGGATTTGTGCTGATGGATTATGTTTATTAAACACTAACCTGGTTTTTTGGACCATCAGTTTCTTTTCCTTGACTTTGTCATTGAACAATTGGAGGCTTCTCAGTGAGGCTGATAAGTGAATTCTGTCTGCAGACTTCAGAGGCTGAATGGTACCAGTTTTGCCCAAAGAGTGTTCTGAGCTTTGCCTTTGACTTGGAACACACAACCAAGAAAGAAACAATGTGAAACTGTAGTAATGTGAAGTTTGTCTGACATCCTTACATTCCTGCTTTTGCTTTATTCTAGCAGAACTTATAAATAAGAACATTATAGATAACGAAGAACATGAACACAAACAGCACAGGAAGTTTGAATGCATAGACTTAAGCCAGGATTTTCAGTATTGGATATCTAAAGTTGAACATTTATACCCTCATTGAAAGTACTAATGATGTGTCTTTGTTTTAAAATGCCTGGGGCTCCTCTCAATCCCACCTTGGCTTTGCAATTTCAGTGTTCCTGAACAATAGTTTACAATTGAACAGGAACATTTTAAACTAGTTTAAGCCATGTCATACACAGCTGATCACTCAGCACCACTGAGGAAATTCTGTTTGAACTGGAACAAAGTATTTACATGGTAGAATCAGACTGGTCTCCAGCCTCTTCAAAAGTGTCCTTGTTTTCCATCTTGTCACCAACATCCAGCTCTTCTTCCAGCTCATATTCTAGCAGATATTGAAACAACAGCTTAATAAAGAGACTTTGAATTCTAAAATTTTAAAAGCTTTCTATATTTGCTGTCAAGTCACAGTGTGGAGAATCAGATGTGACATTTTATAGCATTACTGCAGTGTACATTAAAAAATTCATATGGCAAAACACACAGGACTGTGATACACCTGCAAAAGAACAGGAGAATGTTCTCTGCCTTCATGTGGAAGTGTCACCAAGAATCCCATTTATGTGGGAAAATCCCAGACAAGAATAGGGAGGGGCACAAGGGAGGATAATGTATTGTCAGGTTCTGGCCAATGATCTAACATGTTTATCTTACATTAAGTTTACATTAATGTCAGTTTTTTGTGAGTTATCAAAACAATTCATTTTCACCTTCCCAGTGTTTTTCCAAGTCAAAGAGCTGATCAGCTGCATCTTCCTCTTCTTCTCCCTCTTCTTGTTCTTCTTCCTCTTCTTCTCTTTCTTCTTCCTCTTCTTCCTCTTCTTGTTCTTCTTCCTCTTCTTCTCTTTCTTTTTCCTCCTCTTCTTCTCCTTCTTCCTCTTCTTGTCTTTCTCCTTCTTCCTCTTCTAGCCTTTCTTTTTCTCTTTCTTCTTCCTCTTCTTCTCTTTCTTTGCTTTCCTCTTCCTTTTCTTCTTCCTCCTCTTGTCTTTCTTCCTCCTCCTCTAGGAACACTAGAGGAGACATTTGCTGTTCTCCCTCACTAAAACTGATCTCCTGGTCTTCCATGGTGACAGTTCTTTCCAAATGACCAGGCTGAATAAAAAGAAGAACATGTTTTCCACATTAAATATCCAACAACTTGCAGTAGAGGTGACTATCTCAGGAGTGAATTCACAGCATTCAGTATGCATTTAATGCGTGTGAAATGACTGGATACAATACCTGTGTGTTAGTTACACATCTTGAGGATCAACTATAATAAATCTCTTAGTGAAAAGCAAGGACTCTGCCTTTTTTTTTTCTTTTTTCTTTTAACAATCAGCTCAGTAACAAAACAAACCTTCTGAGTCTATTTTATCCATTTACACCATGATTTTACCCCAGATTATTTGGGCACAACTCCAACAAACAATATTTGTTCTTGAGCCTTGTGGAGTTCTCCAATGCAAAGCAAACTCTTCCCAAATGTTGTTACAATTTATTAGAATGCAGTAAATTCTGCATGTCATCTAGAATGAGTTATTACCACATGGTTGAGCATTTCACATCTTACCCACAGAAGGACTTGGACATATGATTAATTTTAACGAAGGTGGCTCATCTTTGAGTGCATTTATGTAAATCCTTCTGCAGAACTCAAGAAGAATCAACAACAAAAGAGCATCTATTTTCTCCAGTTAAGGAGCAGAGAAAACAAACCCCAGGATTTGAAGTATGGAAGAATGAGTAAATGATAGAAACCACCTTAAAGCCAAGTAGGATTCCTACGCTTGGCTACTGATTTAGGGATGTTGGTGGCACTAAGAAGTGGCACAAACATCAAACGCAGCCAATGCAGCAGCGGCCCCAACGCCTTCAGCCAAACCCCTGCGTTGTGAGGCTGTGTGGCTCCAACCCCCAAAGAACAAAGTTTGGGGTAAATTAGGCCGAGATGCACAGCACAGGCCCGAGCCCTCCCACAGGACACCCCGGGGCAGTGTCGGTGTTCCCGGCGCTGTCCCCTCACGGCCCTGTCCCCTCTCGGCGCTGTCCCCTCAGGGCTCACCGCGCTCACCCCCGGCCCGGCTCCTCACGGCCCGGGCCCGCCGCGCCGCCCGCGCTGCCACGGCAACGGCGCCAACCACCGCGCGCGGGGGCGCCGCGCACGCACGGCCGCGATCCGCCCCCGAACCGCCGCGGGCGCGGGGCGGCGCTGCCGGGGCGGCTCGCTGCGTCCCCCCCTCCGGCCGCGGGGTGGTGCGGGCCGGGACGGGCCGAGGTCCCTGGGCTGGGGTCCGCTGTCTGAGGGCCGGGGTTCGGTGTCCGAGGGCCGGGGTCCCTGGGCCGGGGTCCGGTGTCCGAGGGCCGGGGTCCCTGGGTCCAGGTCCGGTGTCCGAGGGCCGGGGTTCCCTGGGTCCAGGTCCGGTGTCTGAGGGCCGGGGTTCGGTGTCCGAGGGCCGGGGTCCCTGGGCTGATGTCCGGTGTCCGAGGGCCGGGGTCCCTGGTTCCAGGTCCGGTGTCCGGGGGTCCCTGGGTGTGGGTCCGATGTCCCTGGGGTCCTCGCAGTTGTTCAGATCATTGAGTTCTTGAGGTTTGACCCATCTTGAGCAGCTCTCTGGGGAGTTTTCCTACTTGACGATTGTTGACATTATTTATTCTCAGAGGCAGATTAGAATATGAAACACTGGTGCGCTTTTTGCACGTTCTTTAGAAGAATGATTTACACTTTGGAATACAGTGACATTAACAATTCCATCGTATTAGTGTCAGTAATTACCCTGGTGGGAGCACCTCTACCTGTGCTGCCTGTCTGGGATATCTGGTTCAGGTGGTTTCAGGTAACCAAAGCCAGAGACATTCTCAGTGAACTTTCAGCTTAGTGCTTATTCAAATACATTTTTAAATTTTAAGCAAGTTGGTGGCATTATGATTAAAACCCTTTAATCTTGCTGCAATGTGAAGTCCTGTGGATTTGGGGCTGGAGCAGTTATGTTAGAATACTGAAGGTTTCCAAGTTTTAATCCAAAAGGAGTCTGTCTCAAATGTCTTTTCAGAAGTAAGCCTGTACTATCCTAACAAAAGCATTTCCCCACTAGTTACTAATTAAAGGTTATTACAGCAGAAATCATGTACTGCTCATGCTGCCCATTTATTATGTCACATTCTGAACAGGTCCTCTGGCTTCTACAGCAACTGCAGCTCTAGAGGTTCTGTATGAACTCCTGTAATTGTTATAAATAAGCACAAAATCACTACATGAAAAGCCTTTAGATGTTATTTCAGTGATTTACATACTCATAGTGAACGTCTGTGTTCATAAAATGAACCAGTTTGAACATTCTGTCCTGGGGTGGAATCTCCTGAGCCTGTGTGTTTGGTATCAAGTGTTCAGTACCAGATTTAGGGTGCCCAGAGCAGCTGGGGCTGCCCCATTCCTGAAGAGTCCAAGGCTGGGTTGGACAGGGCTTGGAGCCACCTGGGGTAGTGGGAGGTGTCCCTGCCCATGGCAGGGGGTGGCACTGGGTGAGCTTTGAGCTCCCTTCCAACCCAGGCCATTCTATCTAAACTGGTGATTGACTGGGTTTCCTCTCTGCTCTCCTCCTTGTGTTACCTTGACAAAGTCAAGGAGCAGTGCAGCTGGATCCACTGCACAGCAGCTCCCTCACTCCTGGCACCAGGCCTCGATGACGTGCCAGAGAAACCCAGCTATTCACAGACTCCCAGGGATTCAGTTATTAAAATACTGAGACATCATCTGCACCAAAATACACCCTGCTCTGTACACAGAGACAGATGCATTCTCAGATTTATTTAGTTGAAAACGTTCCTTAATTGTAAGCAATATTTCTGTAATTGTTATCGTTGCTATGAGAGTAAGGTCTAGGTTTTGATCCCAAGCACATGCTGCTAATCTGAGCATTTATTTCCACTGGCACACACACCATGGAGTGTAAGTTACCCACAGTGACCAGTGCATTGTCCCATATTTATGCTGTAGGTCCTCAATCTTGAGAAATACACAGACATTCTTAGCTCTATAAATGGTGGAATCTTGATTTTATGGCATCTATTCATATTACATAAAACAAATTACATACAGACATTTGCAGGATTAAAGCTACAAGATGTAGGCTAAAAATATGCAGTGATTAACTGTATAGCTCTCTCTGCAGATCTGGAATAGTTATAACTGTGTTAACTCTGAACCTGCCAGTTCCCACATTCCTCCAGTTGGGATGAAAAACATCCAAGCATGGATTTTCCCCTCAAGAAAACACTCAGAAGAACACCTGGAAAGATCACTGATTGTCAGTTTCTTGTGATATTTTTTAAGGTATTTTTTCAGTCCCAATTTACAACTGTTTGAATTGTTTCAATTTCATAACAGCAACATCAACAAGGGTGGTGGTTTTGTGTCAGGTGAATAATGTGTTTTTAGGGAAAGACAATGTAGATTTTTCTCTCTGATATAGATAGGAAAGGAATAAGAGATCTGCAGTTCCTCTGAAGGAAATTATGGCTCCCCAGCCAAGTTCTTCTCTCTCAATCTACAACTTACGTCTATCAACTTGAAGCCAGTGAATCTTTAGGGTTTAAGCTCCTGGAAATGTACAAAAAAGGCTTTGCTTGATGCAGCTCTTCCAGATTTTGTGGGTTCTGGACCACAGTGATCCATCCTGGAGAAAGTGGGAAATGGAGTGAGCAGATGCAAATGAAATCCCTGCTGTTTCCTGCCAGGGTTCAGTTCAGAGGCATTTCTGTGGAGTCCCTGCAGTGGCACCTCAGGATCAGCTGGGGAGGCAGCAGAGCTGGCCACGTCCCTGCGCTGTGTGGCTGCACGCTGCGCTTCCACAGGCACTTGGCATTTCCCTCCCGAACGTTTCCAAGGTGACAGGAGCTCATCTATGGAGCTTTCTGGCGTTTAGGCAGGAAGACATGCCAATAATGGAATCTGCATTTTGGCAGGGTGGTTCGTATCAATTACATAACACAACTTGTCTGCCCTGTTGTTTGATAGGGATCGATGTTGGCCTGTAAACAATGGCAAACATTGATTTGTCGGACTGTAAATAATGGCAAACATTGATGAGCATCTTCCAATGACTCATCCCTACAGATGCATGGACAGAAAATGAGAGGGGCATTTGCTGTCAGAGCACTTGATGGAGGAATGGCCTGGGATGGCACAGCTGGGAGTGCACCCCTGAGAGCTGGGGTAAAACTTCATCCTGGTCCTGGAATTAGCTCTGCCTTGGGGGAAAACTGGGGAAATTTCATCCCAAATCTGTTGCATAAAGAAAAGAAAAGGAGGGCAAAGTGTCTGGCTGCAGTGTGTGCTTCATGATTATAAAAAAAATTATGCAGATTGAGGGAGGAACTAGATGTTCTACAGAAAATTTAGAAACAGATAAAAACAATATTCCTAGTACTTAAGGAGAAAGGGAAATTAATATTGTGGTTATCCAGATACTGATTAAATACAGACACGTTTGTGTTGGGGCTGGGGGACGTTCAGACAGTGCAAGTACAGTACAACCTCTGAAACGAGCTAAATATTTCCACCATGCAATTGCTACTGATATTCCCAAATCTCATTTACAAAAATAGGCATATGTGTGTAATTTATATATCTAGAGACATTTGGCGATGTTGCCACAACAGTCTTTCACGAGCTGCTTAGGTGGAATCATGGGAGGGTGAGACTAATTATCCCTGTGGTACATTTTTTGCCTCTTAAAATTATATGTGACAATATGATATCTTTATTTTTCTGGCAGTAAAACCACCTGTTCTATTTAGAAAATGATCTGGTAAGAATACCAGGTAATGCAGTGCAGCCATAAAATGAAATAATGTCCTTCTGATACAGTCTCAAAATCCTGAGTAATAAATGACTGAAAACGGATCTTTTGACCCAAATCACTGAGCATGCTTCTCCTCAATCCCATCAAATGACACCATCCAAAGAATGATTGTATGGTAGCAGTTACAGAAGGATGGATGACTGTGATCAGGGAGAATTCATACCTGCTACACCTTCCAGAAGAAAAATTCTTGACAGATACTGAAATGTGGGTTTCTGGCTTCAGTGTAGTAAAATATACTTCAAAGTTGTGACCTTTATTAGTGCTCGAGTAGGGTAGATACTTCAAGAATTAGTAATTTTTGATATAGTAGTGATAACTAATGATTTAATAAATAGTAATCATTAAATGTCATTGTAAAATTATCCAGATGTGGGTGGAGCCCATTAGCATTAGACCTGGCACGGACAAATACTACAGAAACAGATTGAAGGGTCTGTGTTGCTTCCACAGATCTACTCCAGCTTTACTACAGCCCAGATCAAAGTTGGCCTGGGCTGTGTAACTCTGAGCTGGCAGCCTGGTCCTGCTGGAGCTGCAGGGACCCCACACAGTCCCCAGGGTCCCTGAGCCCCCATGCAAGCCCCCAACATTTCCATGGGAGCTGGTGCCTGCAGCCACAGGGAGCGAGGAGAAGTTTGTTAGAGTGAAAACAAGGCTTAGCAAACATTGAGTATCATGGGCCATCTTTTTAAGACTATTTGACAGTTCCCAGCCGGGAGCTAAAGCTAAAGGAAAGCTTTAATTATTTTCAAGAGGATTAGATGAGAAAGATTTGGAGAGCTTATTTATTTTGTTTTGTTTTGATGTTTAAATAGCAATTTTAATAGTTTCTTAATCTATGTCTCAGCAATTTTAATCTGTCATTGACTGTAATGAGTTTGGGATATTTAACTAGAACTGTAGGAAATTGAATGTATTGTTGACCTTTATTATTTTATCTCCTCTCTTCCCTTTGGCAATAGGAGTTATTTATTTTGAGTGGGTTGTGGGTTGTGCATATATAGATTGGTGTATATAAAATAGATTGGTATATATATATATATGGTGTATATATATATATATATATATATACATATATATATACACCAATCTATTTTAAATATGTATTGTATGTAAAACCAACTGAATCACCAAACATTTGTCCTCATCCTTTATGAGGATAAAATAAGACCCTTGCAGATAAAATGTAGTTTATTTATCTGAGAGAACTCTCACATGTCTTTTAGGATTGCCATTGTATTTTTACTA